AAAAAAAAAAAAAAAGAAAAATCAACCAACCATTCATACTGAAAAAAAAAATCAAGTAGCTGAATTCTATGTTTATTACTAAAGCTAAAGTATCTGAAAGCATTCAATCACTATTGAGCTTGAAGCAGCAGGGACAGAAGTTTCAAAGGATTTAAAGCCAGACTTTAAAATTACTTCACAGACAATCCTAACAGCTTTAATGAATATTCATGTATTATGATCGACATAAACACTTAGCTATGACCAAAATGAATTACAAAATTCTATTTGGACAATCATCAGGAGATTCTGGATCTTAATCTCCTGCTCAAATAGCACAGTGCTGGAAAACAAACAAACAAACAAACAAACAAGCAACAAAGGCAAAAACAAATATCCCAAACACAAACCGCCTTAATGCAAAATCACTGAGCAAACAACTGAAAGGCTTTGTCACTCAGAAACCTCACTGTCCAGTCCTCCAGAAACCTCACTGTCATTTCAATGTTACATGCCTTACAYTACCAAAAAGGGCTCACTGCATGACAAACTGCACTATTTGGACACTGTTCAACTACTGAAACTATATCCCAAGCCTGTTCACAAACCTAATACAATAGAAAACATTTGCCAAAATACTGCTAGAGCTGGACCTCTTCCAGCCATGTTTAAGTGCAATCAGAGGCACTAACCTCTTCCAGCCTATGAACTCCTGTGGCAAGTGAGGATTTTTTTCCCTCACTTATCTTYTTCCTAAAAGGTCACTGATCATGTTTAACACTCAGCAAAAGACTACACAGCTGAAACGCTAACAAAAGGGGATCCATCCGCACTACTGAAAGGCCTGACTTCTTTTGCAGCATAACCTGCCTTTCCAAAATTACTCCAACCATCCCCAAGCAAGGGAAACATCATTTACATTTCTTTGCAGGGCAAACTATCGCCGTTTTCCARTATCTTTTAAACCAGTTTTATATGTATTTTTTTAAATCTATCTATCCCCTCCTCGCATTATGGCTCTTGGCAGGTTGGGGATTAGGGGGTATTTCCTTTGTTCTTTCCCTTCTCTTTGTGGTTCCTGGGGCGCCGCTCCCGGCAGGGCTCGGTTACCCGTAGTATCGGAAGGCGTTGATGATCCTGCGGAAATGCTCCCGCTCCAGCCGCTCCTCCTCCGCCTCGGCCTGCGCCGCCGCCGCCCGGGGCTCCTGCGGCTGCCGCCGCGCGTGGCTCAGCGGKGCCGGCGCCGCCGCCGCCTCCCGCTCTGCCCTGCACAGCGGCAGCTGCTCCTCCTCCTCCTCCGGCTCCTCCTGCTCCTCCTCGCGGCCGCGCCGCAGCGCCCTGCGCATGGCCTTGGCCGGCGGGTCCCTCTCACCGGGGGGCCGCAGCGGCGGCTGCGCTTTGCGGGACACGGCGCACGCGGCCGACATCTCCGGCTCAACGGACGCAACCGCCGCGCGCCCCGCCCCGCCCCAACCGCCGCCACGCGCCGCCACTTCCGGCGCCGCGCCGCCTCCTCTCCCCGCCGCTGCCCGCGCAGGCGCGCCGCGGTATCGCGAGATGGGGGGGGGGAGGAGGGGGCGCGCGGCGCAGGCGCAGTAGCGCGGGCGGCGGAGCGCAGCGCTGCGCCGCGCTGCCACAGGCGGCCGTTGTGGGGATGGAAGCGCCGTGTGTGGCGGGGGCGGCTCCCTGGGAAAGGGCAGCTCCATGGGAAAGCGCTGCTCCCTCCTGCCAGCGCGGCGGGAGCATTGCGGGCGGTGCGGCCGTCCGCAGCCGAAATATCCTGCAGGTCCCTCAGCGTGCACCAAGGGCAAAAAAGCCCCACAGGTTTCATGCAAGAACACTGGAGAGAGGTGGTTAAACCCCAGCTCCTGCTCGTACGTGCATCTGCTCACTTGTTGCTGCTGGCAAGGYGCAGATCCGGTCCTGCAGCAACCAGGCAATGGAACCACAGCCTACAGGATCATAGCATCATCGTGGTGGGAATCGACCTTCAAGAAGATGAGTCCAGCCACAAGCTCTCACTGCCCTGCCTGATGAGCCATGTTCCTGAGCACCTCATCTGCACACTGCTTGACCACCACCAGGGACCAGGTGTCTCCCTGCCACATCCCTGGGCAGCCTGTGCCATGGCTTAGCCACTCTTTTCACGTAGAAATTCTTATGTCTGACCTGGGCCTGCCCTGGTGCAACTCACAGAAGAGTGTTTAGTGCTGACGAGGAGGAAGCTGCAAAGGCAGCTCTGCAGAAACTGAAGCGCTGGGCTGAAGCCAAACTGCACTTTGTGCAAGCGGGCCTGAGAAGTGACCGCGCGGGGGAAGCAGGCGGGTAGCTAAGCAGCGCCAGGAGCTGCGAGCGAGTCACGGCGCCTCACACACCGCCCCCGCAAGCACCGCATTGCCCTTCGAGCCTCCGGGCGCTCGGGAGCTTCGGCTCGTCCTGGCAAAACGTGTCTGAGCAAACACCTCCACAGAGCAGGGCTGCGGGACAGCCWCCCCACGCCACGCGGGGTCACTCCACCCCTTGGGCCGGCAGGAATGATGGCTTTTTTAGCATGTGGGTGCTGGGTGGCTGCGCAGGAGGAAAAGCACCCACATRTGATTCCCAGCGGGATGGAGAGGAGGGCATTATTCCCCATAAGGCATGAAGTGGTTACAAGGGATACAAAAAGGTGTATAGAGGAAATCGACATTGAGCAAACAGCAGTGGTGTTGAGAGTTAGGAATTTTAGTTTCCAGAATTACCTCTGAAGATTAGGGAGGGAATAATAATTTTGTGAATTGCTTGTTCCAGTTACATAAATCATCATTACATCATCATGTGCTTTCACCATAATGATGAAGGAACTGCCTTTTTAGAACTCCTGTCCCTGTCCTTGTCCACTTCCCGTATACCCGCCATTTTAGTCACACAAGTGTTCCGCACTGCAACAGCAACCCTTCTGTTCCCATGTTTCTAAGCATATGTGTTCCCTCGCTGGCTACTGCAGCCTCAAGTTGGAGAGGTGGCCGTGCTGCCAGAAATCCTCTCTTCACCAGAAGKGCCTGTCCTGCAGCTCTGCCCAGCTGCCAACACCAAAGACTCCTGCCAGTTTCTTTTACTACACCTTACGGCCTCTTTCCGAGGTTCCTAGTCCTTTTTAACCAGTTCCAGAAGCTTGCTATCAGCTGTGTGAACTGACATGTCTGTTACATAAAATGCAAGAGTGAAGAGTAGTTCTGCACCCACTTGACCTACTGCTTTCAAGATTTTGATTATTATTACTCCTCACAAAGCAGTTGCCCTTTTCTTAACTCCACTCTACCCTTCCTCCAGAAGTGCCCAGTACTGAAAACCTGAGTGCACTGGTCTCACCCAGCAGGACAGCAGTACACCTATTTTACTATTTTTATTTCTKCCTTAAGAAGCCCAGTATTTTGACTGCTGCTCCACACTGCCAATGGCTTCAGAGAACCATCAGTGTTAAGTGCCCTGAGCTGTGATTTCCAGTTTCAAGTTTATTACCATCTACATTCAGAGAAATAGTTTCAAATTTTTTCACAGACGGACAAATCTTTACTGAAGCTTTACCACCCCTGTTACCCATAACAGGATCTCACAAAACTCAGAAAGTAAGTTCCTTGCCACTAGCTTAACATCAGACAACTTGTGAAAGCTGTTGAATTTGCTGAGCAAAACCGCTTGGGGACTGCTGATAATAAATTTCTTCCTGTTTCTGAAAAATGCCCATCAAGTCTTACACTTTGCTTCCTATCCTTTTCAGTTCACAAAAGCATCGTTGTGTTCTGGAAATATCAAGTCTCTTGAAATTGTACTCATGCATTTCTTTTTTTAAGGAAGTGCACCCAAAGCCTGCAAATTCTTCATAGAAACAGGAGGAAAGTCAATGTCTCTCTACGTATTTGTCACTCTCTCKTATTTGCACCTTTTCCAAAGTTAAATAAAAACAAAAACATAGTCTCAGACCAAAAAGTTCATCAAGGCATTTTAGAAAATGCATTTTTTTTTTTATCAGAAAATAATTACACAAATTAGTATTTGGAAGTATTTATAGACAGTTTTACATGGCTCTTAACTGTTTCAGGCCTTTTTACAGCTTTAGGACTCCTATTGTTTAATAAGAAAGTATTACATTTCAATTACTATGATCAAGTCAGCCAAAACATAATATGTAGTTTACTCAAAGTATGCAGTTTAGTTTTAAAAGTTTAAAAAAATCTGGTAAAAATTCAAAAAGGCATTTAGAGAAAGTAACAGCTGATTTACTTCTTATTCAACAACKGAAGCTGATTCTAATTCTTAGTTTATATCTAATATATACTCAAACAACGTAAGAAGTTTTAGCACACATTTGAAATACCTGCTTTTAAAATACATCAATACAATTTCAATGTGAGTTTTGAAAATCAAGAAAGAATATTTTTCCATATCTTCTCTAAGCCATGCATTTATCATCTACTACTTTATCCCATCCCATTTCTCAATTTTTCTATGACACATTACTTAACCTTATGACTTACGACTTGTCATCGATGCATCTGCGTCGATGCATTCTCACTGACATCTTATTTATCCATCTTTGCAACAATCTGATTTCTCTTCATTTTTTTTTGTATTTGCTCCCAGCTTCTCTAAATAATCTTCACTATCCCAATTACTTGAGAAATGCCATGTAATATTAGCAAATCTAAGTATGTTCACTTATATCAATAATAGCTCCAGTTACTGAATAAGCAATGTACCAGCTCTTAGCTATACAGTCTTAAAATTACTATTGATTTTTTAAAAGCAGTACAAAGCTTCTTCCTCTACACATATTATATGATCATTTGAAATTACATACATCCATCTTTCARTATTGTTATTAATAATCAAAACTGCATCTTTATAGTTGTTTTCTATTAAAAATATTTGTTTATATTCTTTAAAAATGTAAGCATGCAATCAGATTTAAAGATTGGCTAGAGTATTACAGATAAGAGGAATTCCAAAAAATATGGCACTTAATACTAGTCATCACTATGAGCGGCTTACAGAGTTAATAGTCGCTACCAATCTACTTGTGTTGTATGCACTAGTATTATGGACACACATGTAACACCTGCTCAGTTATCTTGCCCAGTACAACAGTGTTCAGTTCTCAGTCTGCATCAGAACGACTCCAAACTTCCCACGTTATTAAGATGTGTCTTGTTTACCTAAAGCAAAAAAGATAAGTATGTCACCTGTGATAGCATTTCTCACACACGGTACAACTGTATGTTAGGAGAAACTAACACCCCCAAACATCTCAGAATAGKTATGCTTTCAGTCACGTGGTTCTTCTTCCCCTCTTCGGGGTTGGGCTTCTCCCCTGCTATTTTAGCAGTAGATTCACCTATTCTTTRAGAAAATTTTACTTCAATTAACTACAAAAATTATACCTTGCTATGACTTAAAGTAATAGACAAACACGTATAAGGACTGCATCATATAAGTAGATGACTGCATAATCCACACACTGTTCTCATACAGAAAGATCATTTGCCAACTTGGAGTGGGAGAGGCAGATTCAATTTCCAACAAAATGACTTACTTCTTTCCCTTTGCTTTGTTAATTCCTGTACTATATCATTGTACACATGGGATAAAAGCTCCTCCTGTGGTTTTGTTCCATCCAAATAAACTAAAAAAAGAAGAAAGACATTTTTACATGAGTTCTATGCCAATTATCTATAATACCAAAATTATGAAAATATTCAGTAGTCATATGGGCCCAACCACAAGAGGTGAACAAAATAAAGGACAAGAACAGTAATCCCTTTGGTTCTGTCTTGAATTCAAATGAAATGTTAAAAAAAAAAAAAAAAAAAAAAAAAAAAAAAAAAAGAAAACATAATGGAAGGGTATTCCAATGATGGAATTTAAGATTCCATTTAAGACTCCATTTAATTTCCAATGATGGAAATTAAGATGACGTTTATAAATATTATGGTCCAAAAAGATGGATTGTAACACTGGGCAGCAGAGTAATGGAAAAATTCAGCAGAATCATCCCTGTGTAGTGGAAGCCAGGTTCTGCCTCAGCTATGGGGTTTGACTGAGCAAGGTGAAAAGGGGTGTAGCTGTCCTGTTCTCATTGTGCAGCAAGGAGCTCACCRGTCTGCAGACTGGTGATGCTTCTCTCCCTTCTGGCCCCACATCCAAGACCTGACAGTGCCAAGAGCTCTTACAGCACAGCCATCACAGAGCCCCACCAATATACCCAACTTTGATGTTTCCTATGTAAAACTGTTAACTGTAGTGTGTACTAGAAACACCAAGGAAGTATCCTAAGTTTAGATCTTCCAGACTTCAGCAAAATTTTAGTTCTTTGAAGAATTCGTCCAATAGATCACATACTACCTCACAACTCTGCTAGTTAGACATACCCATGTATACATACATGCACACCAAGCTTGCTTGTTGCACAGACTTAATCAGTTATCASGACTTTTATTTTTTCCCTTGTAATCTCCTAATTTACATATTTCTATTAAAAAAAAACACAACTGGAGAAAGCAACAGAAAGTTATACACGTACTAATCAAACACCACAAATAAAAGACAAATAGATACATAAGAATGTTAGTTTTGGTAGGAGACCAAATTAACAAAAAAACCCACCCCCCTAAATTTTATGTTTAATCATTTTATAAGTTTAAAATTAAGGATAGCATACCAACATTACTTGCATTTTCTTCCAATTCATTTTTATATTTCAGATACATAGGCCACACATGTCCATCGAAGTACCCCGGTGTATCTGCTGGCTGATAGACTCTGGTGCTACACAAAAATATGTTTGCTTTCCCATTCAAGTTTTACATTATTCCTCTGTGTCAACTGGTTTAATTAGTGCATCTACCAAACAGAAATAGGCAGGGAAGCTACCTAATTCTGGAGCAAGGGCACCTTCTTTGCTATAATAAAATCAACATTATGAATACTTACTGAATTACCTATTTTGGCCAAATCGTGTCTAAGACAAGCAAAAGGAAGGTTCCTCTGTAGTATCGTTCTCTAGTAAATTAAGCTTTATCAGAAGCATTACCAAAGCATTTCTTTTCCTATTTATTGGGCATACGGATTTTTCAGGTTTTAGATGACTAACAGTTTCATCTAGTATTTCCAGCCTGGATGCTAAACTCCTTTAAAGCAAGTCAAGACAGGAATTAAGAAAGTGGAGTGTGCCAGAAACCTCAGCCACATGTGAATATGAATGCCAAATGAATGGAGCATTTTCTCACTTAGCCAATGGTCTCTGACTTCACATACACGGACTGCTTCAGCACATGATTCAGGCCCATTTGGAACAAAGTCAGACAATGTTTGGCTTAGCAGTCTAAACCAAGTACACAGTATATAACATACAATCTAAACTATATATACTCTATATATACTCTAAAACCACACATGAACATTATTATTTTAAAATTAATTACCCATAGCTGTATTCATCCAAGGATAAGATTGCTTTATGTTTTTAAGGGTGTTTCTCACTTGAAAYATAGTTTATCTGCAATATGCAATCAATTAATCAAATATTTTTTCTGAGCTAAGGAATCTTTCAAATGTTGTTAAGGCATTTAACATTTTAAATAATAACTTTATAATCTAAATGACAGAAATGTTTGTTAATGTGTGAAATCACTTAGATAAGCTTCCCTGTGAATCACAGGACAGATGATCTTACTAGCTTTTTTTGCTACGAACAAAAGAAAATCTAGCACAAATGAACCACCTCATGCTTACCTCCTCCTCCTTTTGCACTCTTCATAAGGAAGCGTCAAAAAATATCTTCTATCCCACAGTTCATTAAGTGGCCTAAGACAACAACATATTCAGTTCTCTTTTCCCTTGCAGGGAGGCTTTTAATATACCAGGTTATCTAATACTGCTTACTCATAATTATACAAAAGAAAGCCTTCCACAATCAAAATATAAATATCTTCTGTATTTTTTGGATTGATACATGTAGTCTGTGTTTCTTCAGTCAAGACACATGAGTATGGTGGGCTGTTCATCCAACTGCGAATACATTTCACCATTTCATCCATATAGAGGGCATCGAGGACTAGATGAAACCAAAAACACAGGCATTTCTTAGAAATGAAGTATCCTTCAGTATCCATCAGTCAGTAAAAGTCAGATAATCTAACTACAATCATTAATGAAAAGGAACATGATTATGTCCCAAACATCTTCTCACACATGTAAAAATTTTTCAAGCTGTTGCTTGTCTGCAATGATGACAACATGGAACTAAACCTTTCTCCAAGACTTGGTTATTTCAGGTGGATGCTGTCCCTTTAAACCACACAACTTCAAATAGCATGGGAACTCACATTGCAGCCTTTCTCTGCACCACAAAAGCTATGACTATGCTTTCTAGTGAGAGTTCTGTGAAACTTGTAAAAACTTTCTTGCTCCCAAGATTACCTCCTTCTACCAGTTGTAACTTCATCAAGAGTTTCAACATTTTTTTCCTTTGCATCTAACTGGCTTTGGCTTATTTGGGCGGTGGGGAGAAGCAGAATGGATTAAAAGAGGATGCAATATCAAGCAGGTCAGTATAAAGCAACACTTTTACATGCTTATTTACAGGAAGAAACAGGTGAATACTGAATGATGCACTTTGTGGTCTCCAAATATGGGAATAGATTAAGTAATAATGAACTGTTATGAATATCACTTGAACTAAAGTACTGACCTAAAGTGGATCTGGATATAAATGTTTAAAAGATGAAATTATCATGCAGGGCAAATGTGAGCTGTGAACTTGAAAACGTTGGGTCGACCCGTGATATCTGACACGAGACAAAGGTATCAAATTTCGACCCAAATTTTCACGTCATTTGGGATGTGATCATGAAAGTCACGACATCCTTTGAGTTCATCAAAGTGAAAAATACCCATCACTGCACAGAAAGTGATGCACTGCACAGAAAGTTAAGCGTACACCAGCCAGTGCTGTAAGGCAAGACTTTCAACTGCATAGTACATCTTGCCACCATGGCAGGTAAGGACTCCATGAATAGAGGAAAAGATTAAAAAAAAAAAAAAAAGAGAGAAGTACGTACTAACTTCAGCTACTTCAGCTATGTTTGTTTACATATTGGTGAGCAGAGAGAAACTGATTAATGGATCCCCCTAAAACAATCATTTGTACCCTAACATGCTCTCAGCAGAATGGAAGAGGAGAAAGAAGTACTAATTTGCTCTACAGTAGACATTTCAATAAGAAGTTCACTACCAAAATATCAAAGCTACTGACCATCGTACAGCTTAAATCCTCGTTGATCTGTCTCTACTTCAGATTCTGGCTAGAGAGTAAAAAGAAAACATTTTCCATGCTGCTCTTATAAACATTTTCACAGATACATTCTCTTAAATTACCAACATATGAGTTTTCATATCACTGTATTATAAGCAACAAAAATTGGTCTTCAAAACTCAACTACTGTATACAACCATGAAAATACACGATTTATGATCTTACGATTTTCTTTGATGTTAAACAACATTCTTCAAATAGTATCTCTTAAGTTCATTCGAACTTTTTTTCTCTCAAAATAAGAATGACTTCAACCTATTTAATAACTCCTGTGTTAATTCATTTTTCAATTTGCAAAAACACAGAACTGCATGTCTGCATGAGTTCTCTATCTAGGATTAAGACAAAAATATCATTATTTTCATGAGCACAGAATACCTTGTAGACTATACCRCCCGACATACCCTGTTCTTTAACAGAGTACCAAAGAATACAGCCAACTCCGYTTTTGTTGAGTATAGACAGAATTTTTGACAATCTTGTTCTATTCCTCTTAAGGCTAACATGACTGCAAGCAGTATGCATTTTAAAAAGTTTATTAATAGAAGAACTGAAAAGGGAAAAAATGATACTAAAACTAATCTTCAGCTTACTTTCACCTATCAGATCTTCTGTTAATATCTTTACCTTAAAGAAGTCATCCTGACAGATTATGGAACAGTTGGGAAGAATTTTCTGAAGCTTCTTTGCCAGCGTTGTTTTCCCCCCATTTGTTACACTGAATTAGAAAACACAGTAAAATACACATGCACAGATACACCCACTTATATATAAATACATTTATAGTAAGCCAAAATACAATCTAATAAGTTTATTCACATTAAATACTCTGTACATTCATATATTTGCTGGAAATTTCTAACAGCTTTCAGAGAATAAATATAATGGGGCAAGGGAACAGAGATGACATCTGAGATTTATGAAAAAGGAAAACTTCTAAAGAGCTTCTTTTTTATATATATATACATACACATACACACATATATATGTATTTGGAATCTGTTTTAAAAATACACCTCAAATTATCGGTCTGGAATAGAAACAGTATCACACGATTTCGAAACAAATCATAATATTTACAGGAAATTTAGCTAGTCAATACTTACCCTCCAAGGCCAATAACCAATACTTTCATAGTTTGTATTCTCTTCAATTCTTTCTTTTCACTGTCAAAAATAATAAGCCAGTAAAAACTTTTAATTTGCCAACTAGAAAAGCTGCTATTGCATTAAGGAACACCAGGTTTAAGGAATACCAGGCACCAGTTATTGCCTTTATGCTCTCTGTCCTTCCTCTTTGCAAAGTTATTATCAGAAATCCCAGTTCTTCCAGCATCTTAGCTAACAGAAAAATACTACATCAGATTTGGATGCATTATACCACAGAGAGTACTTTAACAATTCAGAGAAAACTTTGAGATATTTGGATCTACCAATATCAGTTAGCATGGCAGTTCTGGAAGAAAAGCACAATCAGTAGCTCAAACAGGTAGATGGAATACTTGGTAAGAAAAAGAGATGCTGTTGTGAAAGAAAAAAAAAAAAAAAAAACAAAATCAAAACTCACAGAACCAAATGCCACGTGCTAAGGTGAAAGATGTTTTTAAAACTTTGTACAAAGAATATGTCCAAAGATTCTTGTAGGAATCTGGCCTCCGCAGATTAAGAATTTACCAATCYCTTGTCCTGAGTTAACAGTACACACCATACAATAGTTTCAATATAAGACCTTCAAAGCAGGGTTCATAAAAACTACTGCAAACGCAGTTTAAGTCATCCCAGATGGTTTAGTACTGTAGAAGACTACATAACATTTGTTCGGCTGCAGAAGAGATCAGAACTAAAATCCTGGTTCACCTATATGCTGACTACTGCCAAGAAACCCACCTTGAGGCTCTGGCTGACCTCCTCCGGCTGCCACTGCTGCCAAGAAAACACTATCTTGTCTCCTAGTCTCCAACTCTTTTTTACAACTTCATGCAGATGCAGGTGTTTCCAGGGCATATGCAATTCAGCTATGTTGGAAAACTACTCCACCTGAAGAACAGTTCTGCAAAAGGGAAGCAAGGAATTCTCAGCTGTATTAATTCCCTTCAATTCACCCTCTATTCACGCATGCCGTTGCACATACAGAGCAGCAGGATTGGCTACAATGGAGCTGCTTCTCTTGACAGCAACCCTAGTCTAGAGAGTTGGTCAAACCACAGTTTAACACTTGTCAAACATTACTTACCAAGAGCACACACCAATTAATAACTATTTAACTACACACAAACACTCTGTTTTTCAACTCAGCCCTACTAGGTCCCACTTAAGATGATAAGGGCTATGACACATAATACCTGACAAGACAGAGAGGCTAAAATCAAGTGGGGGGAAAAAAGCTCCCAAAAAACAAACAAGTACTTTACCATACTAGACTTTCTATGTGTATATAGAATGTGGCACATTCCTTGTTTATGATATTATCTGTCAATTCAGAGAGTGCTAAGAGATTACCTGCTCTCAGGAAGGTCTGATATGCAGTCCCTTTAAAATCTACTGTTTTCCAAAACGCACCAGTAAGTATTCTAGAGGGCTGGCCTTTGCTCCATCCAAAAAAAAAAAAAAAAATAGCCCACTATCTAACCAATCAAATAACAACTAGATACATCGGCTGAGCTTTGGACCTTAACTGACGTAATATTGGGATTAAAACTAATCCCCGTTGAAGAGAAAAAAAACAAGGATGAGCAAGATCCAACAGCTCTTCCCCCCTGTAACACAAACTACAAAGACAATGTTGCAACACAAAACTACATTATTCTTTACTGSCTCAGTTTAAGCCTATATAAAAAGGGCAAAAACCTGCCACGACCACGCAGGGACCTGCCATTATCCGGATCTTGTATGGCACGGTGTGACAAAGCTGGAGCACAGGGCAGCGGCCCACAGGCGCTTCCTGCTTGTCACGACTGCTTCGGCGAGCTCGCAGCACCAGGGACGGCCCGTGTGGCAGCCCSCCCCAACGCCTGTCACACGGGCACAGCTCCCACCTCCTGCGTCTCCCTACGGAGCTGCACGCGGCGCCTGTGGTGGGGGCCTTCACGGCGGCACGGAGCTTCTGCCACAGCCCCACGGCGGGGCTACCGACACCCACCGCCCCACACCCCACGCGCACCGCGCCAGAGGCCGCCCCCAACGGCCGCCCCCAACGGCCGCCCCCAACGGCCGCCCCCAACGGCCGCCCCCAACGGCCGCCCCCAACGGCCGCCGCCAACGGCCGCCCCCAACGGCCGCCCCCAACGGCCGCCCCCAACGGCCGCCTCGTGCGCACCTCCCGCCTCGTCCCGCCCCGCCTCGCCCGGGCGGCGTGCTCTGATTGGTTGCGGGGAGGGGGGAAGGGAGAGGGAGGAGAGGCGGGGCTTGGCCAGGCACGGCGATTGGCTGCGCTGCGGCCCGCCCCGCCCCGCCGGGCGGGCGCGTGGGCCGCCGCTCGGGGGCGCCGCTGCAGCCGCGCTCCCCCCTCTGCGGCCCTGCTTCCTCCCTGGCTGCCCGCCGCGGCGCGCACCGCTCTGCGAGCCCGGCCGGGCCGAGCTGAGCCGCCCGCAGACATGTCCAAGCCGCCTCCGAAACCGGCCAAGCCAGGTAAGGGGTGCGCGCACCGCACCACACCGAACCGAACCGGAGCGGGCCGCCGCCCCACGGCCGCCTCAGCCGTTCCGCCCAGGGCGCGGAGCACGGCTCGGGCTGTCAGTGCTCTCCTCCCCCCGCCCCGATCCTGGCGAAGGTTCTGGAGCGCGCGGAGCCGTTACCGGCCACGCGGAGCCGTTAGCGGGGCCCTGGGCAGTGCGGGGCGTAGCCTGGCAGTGCCATTGCTGCGTAACGTTTTGGCATGTCTTTTAAACGGGCTCAGTTCTTACTTCCGGCCAAAGAAACTTCTAACGTGGTCAAGTAGGTCAGGTGACTCGTGTTCCTGAAATAGGACTCTCTGACCACTTAAGGAGGTCCGAATTTTTGCRCTTTCTTCCATTAAAAAAATCCTTGAGATGCCTGTATGTTTTAAGAATGCTTAAATACACAACATACTTGAGCATTTTAAATAGGCAACTTCTAAAGTAAGTTTTTAATTTGTTTAAAATGAAGGAATTGCAGACCCGGTTTAGAAAAGTCACTTGCCTACCTAAGTGAAAATTGGTGAAGCAGAGTAAAGTCACTGTAGGATGAAACTCTGCATTCAGAGCAATTTTCTAAGCCTTCTTGAAAACTGGGCTCATTTAAAAAAAAAATAGAGCGAGAACTGCTGTTCTAGTCTCTTTCTGAAAACTCATAGTAAGGAAATCTCCCGGCTTSTCGAAGGGATGGTGTAGCTTTTAGCATCCATATATGTAAGAAATATATTTTTTTTCAGTGAACTTGATATCTGACTTCTCTGTTCTGCAAAAAAGATGAGTTAGATTTTGCTTAGGAGTATGTTTCTTAAGGAGTTAAGGCTATAGTCTTATTTAATACACATCCGCTATGAGGCTAGATCTGGTCTGATGTTTCAGACATGGGGCATCCCTTCCTGGTTTGCTAGGGTGCAGTTTAGTGCTAATTTCATCTCATAAAATGTAGTCTGCCGTCAAAGGGAGAGATTCCCTGTTACCTCGTTCTCTGTTTACCATTGGATTTAGTGACAACATGGCAGGTTGGGTCAGTACTCTGGTGCTCTTAATGTRGATTATTTTTCTGTCTAATCAACTTGCCAATCTGGTTTACCACGTGATTGCAAGACACAGACGAAAAAGGAAAGGGCAGAAAAAAATGGCTGAAGGATGAAGAAAGCAAGACTTTTTTTGGTAGTGGCTATCAGATCATATTAAGGGTAATGTGATTCATTTTGCCAGTGAATCTAATTGGCAACACAATATCTAATATTTTTGAATAGACAAAGTCTCATGGAGGCTATTGTATTTTCTCAAAAATTTTAAGGAGGAGACTGTCTTAAAGGCTAGGTGGAAATATGTCTGTATTAAGGCATGTTCATCTTGTTTGCTCTGTATTTACATTAATTATTCCTATAAAACTGTAATTGTTCTATCCATCTCCTGTAGTAACTTAAAGACAACATGGGGTCTGCGTTGGTTGTACAAATTCCTTAAGGGAGAGTGTCAAGAGGATGGGGCCACACTGTTGTCACCAGACTATTGCTGTTCACCAGCAACGGGTCAAGAGGCCRAGGTCGCAAACTGAAGTACAGGAAGTTCTGCCTGAACATGAGGAAAAACTTCTTGACCTTGAGGATGACAGAGCACAGGCTGCCCAGGGAGGCTGTGGAGTCTCCTTYTCTGGAGATCTTCCMAASCCRYCTGGATGCYGCCCTGTGCCCCRTGCTCTGGGTGTCCCTGCTGGAGCAGGGGGCTGGACTAGATGATCTCTAGAGGTCCCCTCCAACCCCAAATATCCTGTGATAACCCTGTGTTCTCTGTAGTGGTAGCTTTCAGACTGCGGTTGTTTGTCTTCTCAGTGTGTCTGATCAAAACATGTTAATATCCAGGTATAGTATATTTATYCTATAGCCTTTGTCAGGGAACAGAAAACCTTCTTACTTTGCCAGTGAATTGTTAAAATTTAAGAAAGACACTGGCTACTGTAGTCACAGAATCACAGTCTTTTAATACTTTGGGAATGGGGAGGGAGGGGAGGCGCAGTGTAGATAAAAGGTGATTTAGCTTGTGATTGGGAAGTATTTTTAGTGATATAAATAGTCACCCTTCCTAAAACAGTGAATGTATTTATCCAAGGAGTGTTGGAAAATTATAGTTCAGTGGACTGACAGTTCTTTAAAAATGTGTAGGAAAAAAAAGGCATCAAGGACAGAAAAGTAGTTGTTACATTAAATGCATTTTTCTTCAGACAGTGAGAAGTTTTTATCTGACAGGAAACTCTTCAAGTATTCCTGCCATGGCCACCTTCCATTACAACTTTAGCTGTAAAGAGGTCTTTTAAACATCTATTAACAGTCATCTAATGTACTTGTCAATAGCTGTGCTTGTGCATCGTAGTCTATGGTCAGATTCTGAATAAAGGATTGTATTCTTTTTAATGGCTTTTAGCAAGCCCCTAGCTTTGCTTTTTGCTGAGGCTGTTTTACTACTCTTGTTTTTTACCAGTATTTTCTACTTAGATTTGCTATTGGGGATTCAAATGAGTGAAGTGGGAGTTGAAAATCGCTGAAACTGTCTTTGTCAGCACTATGAAAGTGTAGAATTTCCTCTCCCATCTTTCAGTAGCTCTGTTGGTGTCTCAAACTGCATTGCTCTTTACAGAGTTCATCAACTTTTTAAGCATTCTGTGCCCAATGTTAATCCTATTTTAAAAAGTTACTTATAAAATTCTTCAAACCTGACAAGGAGCATTGGCTCCTGCTAGTCGTCAGCCTGAGCAGTGTTCCATATCTGGTTGCTTTTTAGGCTTTTAAACAGGCAGTAGCAACAACTTTTGGAGAAACAGTAGTATTAAATTTTCCAGAGAGAAAGATTAATTGATMCGAGTGTACAAATCACACATTTTATAGACACATTTTACATACTTAACTGTATTAAGAAGGTACAGTTTAAAGGTTTTCCAATTGAGAAGAAGGGAGGCCAGAGAATGTGTAGCATATATAACACTTTCCTGAGTTCAAATCCCAAAGTTTAAGTGCTGTTTCTGTAAAATGTATTTTGGCTATTTTTTTTTTAATCTTACTTGAAGGCCTGGATATGAAGCACCTTATTTTCCACTTCCTAAAAAACTGGACGAGCCTATTTCGATGTGACCTTACTGTCCTGCTAATAAAACTGCCACAGCTCCTGAGAGATATTCAGATTATAGTGTGAACATAGCTGCCTTAACTAAAGCTACTTAAGAGCATCGTCCAAGTAATTCTGGTTTAGTTTTCAAAAAAATTGTACCAAAACTTTTCATCTCTTAGTTGCTGCATTACCAGATTGTGTTCTTTCTTCAGAAAGTCCTAGACCAACAATGAGGAAATACTCTCTGTGCTTTTTTTGTGAGGTCAGACTGAAATGACTTTCTCTTGATACACATATGAGCTCTGATACACATTCAGATGATTTCATTCCCAGTTGTTTCTGCTGTTCYTCCATCTGCAGAAGTTGCAGAAACTGACACACCATGAAACATACAAACTGTGCTTCTCTTTCCACCTACGAACTTGTACATTTTTTTCTCATTCTGGTCAAGGTGTTATTGCTGAGGATTGAAATTAGCTATGTATAGCTAGGTTTATGCTAGAGAGAGTCTCTCATTCTCGACTGGTTCTTTACAGCATCCCAGAAGGGAGGGTGGAGGGTGAATATTGGCCCAGGACGAGGTTGACTGCTTGTGACTTCTGATAGATCTGAAGTTTGCTAATTTACGTGTAGAAAACCATGCCTGGACAGTATTTCCCACAACACTTTCCCTCTATTACATGCACTGATAGCGCTTTGACACTTGAGGTGCTGTTTATCTGATTCTGATTTTATGGCATTCTAGAGCCTCACTCCAGTGCCACTTGGTGACAAGTTTAGCAGAAGAGGAGATCTTAATGCCAGTGTCTACAATGGCACAGAGAAACTTGATTGAAAGAACAGGATAGGGCAGGTGGAAAAAAAGAGTTTCTTTTCTCTCTCACTGGGAGAGAAACAGTAACTCCTTGTTGAGAAAACACTAAGCATGTCTTTGAAAACAACTTTCCACTAATGATGCTGCCATTAAAAGTAAACCTCAGAATTGTTAGGAGGAGGCAAGAGATTTGTAAACTTTTGACAAAATTGTCTTTTCTCTTCAACTTCACATTACAAAGCATGATAGTGATGCTTTTAGATCAGCAAATGCCAGAGGCTGCATTTTTCAATTTTTTTTATATTTATATAAAATCTTTTTTTTTTACTTCCATGCACTTTCAGGAAAATAAGTTTTAACTGGGAGAAGGCAGTGTTAGAAATCTGAGTTGCCCACTTCCTTTTCTGATAAAAGTGTTTTACCTTTATTTACAGTAAAGTCATTCAAAAGAATTCAAAGAGAGTGAGGTTAGTTGAATGAACGTGATAAAGACATTGCTTTATAAGGCAGGAGCATGTCACTGATCAGAGTGAATCTTTAGTTTGAGTCGATTACCTGAGACGTTTCTGAGGAGAATTTTTTACTGGAAATCTGTATGCTAACATGCATTTTGTCTGCTCAGTATAAGAACTTATCTGTTTGTTAGGTATTCTGTAAATTTTTAATGCAAATTCCATGAGGAGAGAAAAGATAATTTTGTGGCTAAGAGATGGGTCTGAAAAGCAGAGAGAGTTACTCTGCTTTAAAAAAAAGTTTAATGCTTAAAAAAATGTTGTGGGACGTTTGATTGCACTCTTCCCCCATTTTCTTTATCTTTTCAGAAGGTTACCCTCCTACATCTTCTGTATTTCAGTTATTTTGTTCTAGAAATAAATGCTAAAGAGGTACAGTAAGTCAACTCTGCTAAGTTCAGACCAATGCTGATTTATTATTTCCCCATGACACAGCTATCTTACAAATGGTTATCTTTAGAAAGAGTATAGGAAAAGGAAACAGGAGAGCATCATCAAGCTCTTTCTGACTTTTTTTTTTTTTTAATCACAATGGATATAGGCAAACAAAAGCTGTGACTTTCTTTACATGGTTAGAGATGTAAATCACTGAATAAGAGTAGCTTCTATTCAAGCAATTTCATCTACGTGTGTGCCCAGTTAATTTGTCAGTACTTGCAAGACAGGGTTTCTAGTTTGATCCATATTCCATTTCCCTGTATTATATTATTTAAAATCYTTTAGAGAGATTTTTGTATTTAAAAATGTAAATTACTACCATATAAAGTGCTCACATCTTTTTTTTCTTAGCTCCTAAGCACAGCACTGACTAAGTCTGTTTATCAAGAAATGTTTGTAAAGCTCATTCAGAAGTGCCAGTAAGCATCAGTGTTAAACTCCCATATAAATYGTGTCCAGAAATTACAAGGATAGTAGCAGATTTACATTTCACTGTGTTTCCATCTCATAAGATGTTTACCATATTACCATTTGATATTTCCATTTGTTATACATTTTATTTCATAATGTTGTMCATTTCCATTCAAATTACTTTATTTGAAACCAAATGGTCGAAATAGCTGAACATGGAATTGGACTGTTAGAAATGTGATCTCCTAATAAGAACATGGTTTCAATAAGACTTTGCTGAGCAACACCAGCAAAAGATTATATCTGTTTTCATTTAAGTTATTTAAATCCAAAATGTTAGCATCTGTTTTCAGAGCTTTTAATTTACTTTTTATGTAGTTAAATGGACTAGATGATCTCTAGAGGACCCTTCCAACCTCAACCATTCTGTCATTCTCTGAAAGTGCTGTAAAATTACCATGAACGAGACTAGCACTTTATAGATCTGTACTTTGTGCTTTATCATGGCAAGAGACTTTAGAAYGTGCTGTCTCATAATACCATAGCTTGATACTTGGGGAAGTAACTCTCCATTTCTGTTGTATAGATTGAAAGATCGGCCAATTTAGCTAATATTTAAGCAACAGCTTAACARTTCTTTTCTCAGAATGTTTTTGTTCTTCTTTTCCTCCACTTAAGAATATGATGTTTTTAGAAAATTCTGTTAATTCAAATGCAATACATTATTATAGGAAAAAGTCACTACACAGAAATATCTGCATTTCTTAGTTTTTCTGCCTTCTGCCATCGTTCGTTTTAATATTTGTTCTTCTTTCTTTTTTGTGTTCAATTTCTTCTACTCTAGAATTGTACTTCAAAAAAAACTTAAAAAATAGTAAACAAAGGTTAAAGGTGTCACAGTGTATGCTATGCAATTCCATGTTGCATTTCTCTGACGTATATTTAAAAGCTTGGAGCTTCTTGGGAGGAGAGAGGAAAGCGACTACCCTTTACCGCCCAACCCGTTCTGTTTCTGTTCCTGTTTTGTYGTCTCTTCTACCTCTTTTTAATCTACTTCCTGCCAGCCTCAGCTGCAAGATTTTATGTTGAAACACTTAGATTTAGGATACATTAGCTTCAACTTCTGTTCATTGTTGCTGTAGAGGTAATGAACACAAATGAAGTTTCATTTTATTAGTGCAGTGCAGGTAGATTAAGTTGTTAACTAAGATTGTTACCGTTCTAAAACAATCACTCTTTTTGTGGAAGGCTGTGGGGTATTAGGGTAGTCAACAGCACCAACTTCCTTGTCACTCAATTCTCCCCGTATTTAATGGTTTAATACCTTCTCCAGGATTCTGTGTAAGCAGACTCTTTGTTTTACGGTACCAAACTTTGGCAGTAATTTCGCTGGCATCCCTGGGGATACAAGTTAGCCTGGTCTAAGTATAGACCAAGTAGTGCGTTGTCCAGATGGGTTACAAGTTTAGGAATATAAGAATGGTATAGAATACTTACTTACCCAGGACTTCAGATATGTAAAATAAAATAATACAGAAAAAACATTATTGAATGTATTTTGGTAGTTCAGCTGAAGTTCTGCAAGACAGTTGCTTCTCCTGAGCTCATTTTATCTTGTTTCTTTTGTTAGAAGACATGATATTCTTTTGATTAGAAGACATGATATTGACACTTGATTTTTTTTTTCTTTCCTTTTTTTAGGGCAGGTTAAAGTGTTCAGAGCCYTGTATACGTTTGAGCCCAGAACGGTAAGTATATTTTAGATTTTAGGATTTGGGCTTTAATCACGTTTGTGATAAAATCTTCCTGAGTTTTGCTTGGTTTTCCCTGTCAGACTTGCTATACTGCAGTTTCAGTTCAAAAAGCCTTTGATGTTCATGAATCTCAGTTCCTAAACATGTCCATAACTGCCTGTTCTTTCTCCTTCCTCAAGACCATCTCTTTTGAAAAGCACCTAACAATTACCTCCAGAAACTGATCACATCTGCTATCTGCTTATCTGACTGATAAGCAGACTCAGTGTTTTCCCCTTGCCTGCCTCTGCACTCATCTTTCCAAAGGCAGCAAAGATAATTCAGTACAGAGATTGATGAGCTGGGAACAACCAAAAAGGGAAGAAATGAGCCAACACTGTCTGTATTTCACTGTTTTTGTTGCAGAGTTCTGTAGGAAAGGCTACAGTTTTTTGTTGGCTTGTCAGAAGGGTCACAGATCCAAAAAGGTAGTTGTAGCTTGACTTGCCAATAGTATGAAAGACTATCAAGCAGTTGTTATTTTTCTGGAGAATTTGAACTATTGTATTGAGCTATTGTAATTTTGAAAGAATTACTGAGGTACTCAGCTTTTCTSGGTGTATTTTTGACTGGGTACATGCATTTAGAACTTAATAAATTCAATAAATTAACTTTTTTTTTTTTTTCCCAGCCAGATGAACTGTACTTTGAAGAAGGAGATATCATTTACATCACAGACATGGTGAGTCTGACATATCCCATATAGGTCAATTATATGCGAGATGCAGCGTTATTCCTTTTAACTCTTTACCACTTTCTCTCCAGAGTGATACAAATTGGTGGAAAGGAACTTGCAAAGGGAGAACTGGACTCATTCCAAGCAACTATGGTAATGTCTAAATATTATCCTTTGGTAAAATCACTCTCAGTAAAAGGAAGTTGCTTAGTGAAAGTTGTTGATAATGTTTTTTTTTTAATTAAAGACTGTGATTACAATATTAATACTTTACTCTGAGTACTTCAAAATACTCTAATTCTTCAGTATTAGTCACCAGTATATTGTTTATGTTCAGGCAGCCTGCGGTCTTTATACAGATGCCTGGAGTTCAGCAAGTTCATGTTTTAGGAGTGTAGCCTGCAATCTTGAGGGAATTAATCTCTGAGTATCCAGAATTGTGTTAGAGACTGAATACTAAATTGATAGCATTATATTTTTATACCCTTAGTGGATGCATTTCAGCTCTTAATATCTTCTCATTAGTTGTTTCGCATCTGAATTCTTTCAGTCTGCATGTTGTTTTTTTTCATAGAGAGACCTAATGGTGGATACCCACGGCCTTTAATAGCTTTGAAATAGAAATGCCTGGTACAGCAACATCTGACTGTTTACAGAGATAGATAATCAATATTGGAATTTTTAGTCAAATCTGTAATGAGAGAGGAAGAGCAGATTGCGAGTACTTCTGTGAGCTTCCTTTGACCTTTTCCACTACGAAATATGTTTTTTCTGTTTGCCAGTTGTAGCTTCTTAATAAAAGTGTTCAGCCATCGAAAGAAAGGAGAGAAAAAAAAAAAAAGAAAAATGCTTCCTTATTAAAGCCATCAAGTTAAAACTGCCTAAGCAGGCAGGTAGGTAGAMATAATAATAAAAAGGCAAAAGTTTAGATTTGACCTGTTGGGATGAAATAATTTTTTTTCCAGATTCAATTAAAATAATTTTGGAAATCTGTGAGTACAGGCAACTCAGCCAAACTCTGCCAAGTCCTCTCAGAAAATGTAGGTAGAATAGCAGTGTCACGATGCATCAAAACTGCAGTGTTTCAGTATCAGTGTCATGGCTTTGCATCCATCCATCCCTTCCTCAATAGGAAACATTATGGTAGCAGTTACATGATTCCCTGCCCTAATCTATAGATCGATTAGGTGAGCTGTGTCAGTAGAAATCCATGAAGGGAACTCTATGATGCAGTTTCTCAGAAATTTCACTGYGTGGAAAGAAATTTTGTGACTGACAGACTGATTGTATTCTGGCCCTATGCCAGAGGTGGTCACGATTGTGCACTAAGAGAAGGGTTTACATATGCTTATCTATGCTCTGATTTATGGTAGACATTACAGTATGCCATGTTTAATATCAATACAGCAACTCACTGGTTCTGTTAGTGTGTTTTCATTGGAATCAACTGGAAAAATAATCTCTGGAGTGTTTGTGGGGGTTTTTGTTTTTTTAAAAATGACCTGAGCAAAAGTTTGGAACTTCGTTTTGGTTTTAGTCTAGTGTGTTACATTTACAAAAACTTTGTATGTGAGCAGAACAGGAGCCTATGCAGGCACTAGAATTAGAGTACTGGGGACATAAAAGCAGTGTATCTGTGTGCCAAAGCAGTTCAGAGATGTTCTGACTGCTRCACAATGCAGGTTCTATTCTTGGTTGCATATTTACTGCATGTAAGTGTATCTTTTGATTTAGACACATTGTGCAAAACCACTCAAAGTCACCTCCCCATGTTGACAGTCTTAGGACAGCCCAGGTTCAGTCCAGTTCCTGCACTTTTTGAAACACTGCACTGTCCTGTGTTGTTGTATAGCCTTTTCAGGGAAGATGTAGGCAGGCTGGAAACTGCTGATTTCATGCCGGAGTCTTGTGCTSCATCTGCTGGACCAGAATGAGCATATGTAGGAAGAAGAAATAAAAATARACTAGGGTATGAATGGAAGCACTGGTAAATTAGAACCAGAATCACTTCTGCCTGCATTCAAACTACTTATTGCTGGTTTTAATAATAGTTTTATAAGGACAAAATTACTTTAATGATTCTGAGATACTGATATCTGCAAAGATTAATGTTAATGCTTTTTGCTGTGCCCTATAAGCCCTACTCGGTATGACTAAGGTGTTCCATTTCTATTATAACTTCTCTGGGACCAGCTTCCCCAGTGCTGCTTTTGGATTCTGGTCTCTGCACAACTTTTGTTAACCTGAAATAACAGACTGTAGCATTTGCATTTTTTACTTGCAATTAAAGAGATAAACAAGTGAAATCTTGCAATTATAARTCATTATGTGAGGAATATACATCAAAGTAAGAAAAGATCTGAGTAGGCCATACTACATCTGATTGTAATAACTCTGTGACCAGAGACACACCCTCTCAGWGTTTGCCTACTGCCGTTAAAAGCAGTAGAGCAAGGACTTGGAGAATACCTATTCGTCTTAGAGTGGATGCTGTCCTGCTTGCCCATACCCATAGCAGTCACAGGATTTTACCTAAAATGACATTTTAAAAAGGAAGTTTCCATGTCAGAGCCCCACTTCCAATTGTTTCATGGTGCTATTCAGTGTCTTTTTGTTGCTGTAGCAGCAGAGTGACCAGGAATCCCTCCCTGCCCTTAAACCTAAAGTTTGTGAGATGAAGAGAATATCTTCTGAACTTCAATTTTCCTATCACTAAATTTGGTTTTAATTTGCAGACTTCTGATTTTTTTTACAGGGGAAATAAAAACTTCTGTAAAATAAATAGGATGCCTGTTGACAGTGAACTGAGTTACTTTTCACATATGTCTYAGAAGTAATCCACAGATAACTGCAGGTGCAAGCTGTTGCTTGAAAGCTATCACCATGCAGACCAGCAGTTGTGCGAATGCCCAAAAGTAGTATCCAAAAGTGCCCAAAAATAGTGCCCAAAAAGAAAGGAAGGGAGCAACTAGGATACTTGTCAGATTCATAATGACTTGCAACCGCTGATGAATTTGAGACTGTTTTTTGAAGTTTTCACAGATTCTTCTCTGGATTTCTTTCTAATACACTGGAAATGAAAGTGTATCCAAGTACTCTAGTACTTGTAAATCCCCTTCACATTCAAATGTGATATGTAATGTTGGCTAGGCCAGAAAAAAAAAAAACCCTAAGTCTTATTTCCATACAGGTATCCAATACCTGTTTGATTTCAGAACTGGTTAGAGTTTACTGTCTGTTTCATTTCAGTGGCAGAACAAGCTGAGTCTATTGATAACCCATTGCATGAAGCTGCCAAACGAGGTGAGTTTGAACTTTGGTTGTGTAATGCTGAAGAAAGATTTGTTTGTTTTATGTTAAAATGTCCTTAATCATATTTAAAATAAAGAGGCATGTTGTTTGTTTTGGTTATCTAATATCTTGAGCAAGTTTTTTGGTCAAGTTTTGTACCCATCAGAAGTTGAATTCATGTACAGCCTAATAGGATTGGCAGTCTGCCGCAGATATGTCTGGTTTCATCCAGTCAGCTGCACAGCAGCCTAAAGGTCCTACTGGAAGGGAAGAAGAGATGTCTGGTATCATTTGGTTGTTTTACAAGTTAAATGTTGCTGCCAAACACCTTTTCTCCTCATAACTTCATAGGAGGAGTGTGGCATTCCAAGAGAGAGCTAAATTATATTGTTTATTTTTCAGAGATAAAGTCAGTGAAAAAGAGTTTGTTTTTTAGGCAACCTAAGCTGGTTGAGAGAGTGTTTGGATAACCGAGTTGGGGTCAATGGCTTAGACAAAGCCGGAAACACAGCTCTGTACTGGGCATGCCACGGAGGGCATAAAGGTATGAGAAAAATCATATGATGTGACTGTCTTCTGATTTACTTGACTTACTGGTTAGACAGAGTACAGAGTAATAAATCTAGGATTGTCTTATCATTCTCATTTTCCAAAAGAAAAGTTAAAAGCTGGTGGGAGGTTCAGATCTGTCAAGTGTTGTGTTCTGTTGTAGTTGATACTAAAGCAGCCATTTTAATCAGTGTGATAATTARAAATAGAGTGGGAGGAAGGATAAGACCAAAAAAAAGTTGAGATTTGAGGTATTATATGCTTTAATATTTCCTAGTCATTGATTCTGTTTTATGCAGTCRTGCTGTAGTCAAATTTTGTTAACTGATTAGATCTTTTTTTCATTGCATCTTAAATAAGATTAATACTATGAACATAGTAATTTTCCTTTTATTTTTTCATGTTCCCTGTAGATATAGTGGATGTCCTGTTCACCCAGCCAAGCCTAGAGCTGAACCAGCAGGTACAACTCCTACCCTAGAGATGGGATGTTATTTACTCTTGGTGCAAGATGAGAGTTTTTTGCTGTCTTTTAATCCTGTTGCTTTTCCCTCTAACTTCACAGAACAAATTGGGAGACACAGCTTTGCATGCAGCTGCATGGAAGGGTTATGCTGATATTGTAGAGGTGCTGCTGGCAAAGGGTAAAGAACATCAACAAGATTTCAACAAGCTGTGTGGCAGACTAGCTTTCTGAATGTTTCTTAATCTGTATGTTTTTAATTGTTTTCCTACAACCTAGGTACAACCCCTAGCTAGCTCACCTGCCTGATTTTGTAAAGCTTGCAGAAAATTCTAGAAGCTGTCTGGGAGGCAGATTTCAGATCTGTCGAGATGAATAATCACCCTGCTTGGCAGACAAAATGTGTCACTTCACCACAGAACAGCAGTGAGAGCTGCTTCCTGGGCAGGGAGAGCAGCCAGTGAGCATTCATAGCCTTTGGCCTGCTTCGTATGTATCCACAGATGGGCATTAGTCTGGTCGGTTTTACTTGCACTACTGAAACTCTTTTGATAATGCCATCAAGAAGTATCTAAGAGTAGCCAAGTGATTCATGATGGAAATTTTCTATTACAAAGGGGCAAGAACGGATCTGAGAAACAATGAGAAGAAACTGGCTTTGGACATGGCAACCAATGCAGCTTGTGCTTCCCTGCTGAAGAAGAAACAAAGTGCAGGTACTTCTGATTTTTGTTCTTTGATTTATTTTTTCTTTTTTAGAGGGCAGTTAATGTATCAAGTTATCAGCATGCTGATCTTMATAAAAAAATGTTTGGTGCTACATGGTCTAAAAGCAGTATTGGGAGGAAAGATTAAGTAGCAGTCCCCAGAGTAATGATAGAGGTCTGTGGTATATCGCACTCAGTGTTGAAGRCTCAGTACAAAATTCTCTCTTATGCGAGAGGTAAAAGTGTTCAGAATGTGCGCAAATAATAGTGGAAAGTGGAGGAAATGGAAGCAGGGTTCTTTGGGGTAGTGGGATAGGAGGAAAGCAAGGACGAAAACTTCCGATAAGAGCAATGTACTGCGAGGGCCAGGATTGAAAGACAGTGATGTGTTCTGTCTGTCTACGCCTCCAAATTAAACGAGTTTACCACAAGAGCCTCTTTTATCTACATCTTGTTCCTGGTTTTCTTTCTGATAGTTAGGTCTCCCCACTTGAGTGAGAAACAGAAATAAAATGAAAAAGCTTTCGTTTTCAGCTATTTATCAGAACGGTCTCACATTTTTCTCTCCTAAAAGTGCAGTAGCTGTTTGTGAGGTACAATCTGTTTTTAAAAACTGAAAGAAGACTGAATTTTTCACCATCACACAAGCATTGTTTCCTTTAGCCTTCAGAGGGCTGAAATTGGGGTAGAAGCCCTGAGTGAATTACACATTAGATGATAAATAACTTAAAAACACAGGCAGAGTTGCAACTTGTATCAGTTGGATATTCAGGCTAGGAAACAGCGCAGGGTTAGCATGGAACATGAGATCAGAGAGAATGCTAATGATGGATGGTGATAGGAATAATGGTGATAGGAAGATACAGAAATAACATGGTGGAATATCTAGGCCTTTTAGAGGGCCAAGAAGAACGGCYGCAGCGAAGGTACTACCTGGCTTTTTAGCAGAAGTGGCACCAAGGCCCAGAAGACCTTGATCAGTTATTTCCCTCAGCTTTGAATCTGAAGAAAGCAGCTGTGACTAATAAGTTTCCTTTATTTGCCTTTTTTTTTTCTCTCTGATATTAGTTAGTTCCTGAGAGGAGAAACTTCACAGCCTGGTGAGAGATAAAATAGATGGACAAAAAAAATTAAATAGCTAATTTTAAGCTTCCTAGAGTCAGAAAAATGAAATGTTCATATAACTAATAGAGGTATTAGACTAAGAATGTTCCAGTACCAGGTGACAGGACAAGATGAAATTTAATCTCTTACCAGGCTGTGATACTCTGACACTATCTTTTCTTTTTGCCCTCATGTAGTGTTTTCACTGCAATTTCAATATTAGATTTCTTGATTGTTATTATCTCATAATTTTGTCTTCTATAATTTGTGACCSTATTAAGCGATGTAATTGTCTTGTGGTTTTTTTGTTATCTACATTCACTTCTCATGTCAGTTGCTTGATGCTGCATTTCAGTATTTTCCATTATGAGTCTGTAAATTGATCTTTCCTTTTCAAAGTACTTGTATTCYTGTTTCAAAAGTCTTCCTCTCCCCAGTTTCAAATGAGTTCCTATTAAGCTACTGCTTCTGCATAATCCTTCTGTAAAATAGTCGTTCTGAAGAAACTTACTTCACAGCCACAAATATAATTGTGTTTAAGCATTTTTTCACTGGTAGTGACTGCTAAGGCACTTTCTACAACGGAAAGAGTTCTTAAAATACTGTCATAGAAATGCAGCAAGATTGACATTTGTGCCCTATGATATGGAAGTAATACTACTTGTCCCTTCCTGAAGTATGACCTCTTGAGCACAAATGTTTACAGTTTCTTCCCTTTGTTTTCTTATACCTACACTTCTTTTATCAAACAATTCAATGAATCAATTTTAAAATTTGGTCACTTTTTGTCTTTCCGAAATCTAGGGTAGGGTAGTTAACACATTCAGAGTTATGTCAGTCTTATTGACTGTATACGGTATTTGAATATACTTCTGCAAGACTATGACTGATCCCTTGCTTCCAACAGTACAACATAATACTCAATGCAGTATACATATGATAAAGTCCATGAGCAACCCTTCCTCAGGACTCTTACAGTTAAGGAGTTCAGTCCTTTGAAGATATATAGGAAATCATTCACCTATCACAAAAAGCCTTTCCAAGGCATCTTTGTGAAGAGTAAATCTGAAGGATTTTGGTTTTTGTTTTGTTCTTTTTTCTTCCACAAAAGAAAGCTATGCAAACAAGTGGGAGAAGAGAGAATAGATGGAATATKCTGGATTTTAGGCAGAGAAAGACTGCTAATTAAGCACTCATAAGTAAACTAATTTTTTTGTCAACTCACCTATCCTTTCCTTTCCAATGTATAGGTACTATATACAGAAAAGAATCAAATATTCCAGCTGTGCTGTAGAGCTTCCAGGGAACCAGGAGATGGCTCCTGGAGATCACAGAGGARAAACATAATAGCAGCAAATTTGCTTTTACTGTGCTTCCCCCTTCAGACTGAGTCACAAGTATAGGAAACGTCATTACTGTCCTGGCCTTGTTTCTGAGATACAGATTGTCAGACGCAGCACCCATGTTATCTTGGGCTCAGCATCCCTAAACCTTAGAGGAGCTGGGTTGCTCAGGTGGTGGTTTGCACACACTGCAGGTATGGGGCTCTGTATGGTTTTATCCTGGATTAAGAGGATGCTTTGTTTCTTTCCAGACGCAGTGCGAACATTAAGCAATGCAGAGGAATACCTCGACGATGAAGACTCTGATTAGCTTTTTATTTTCATTCTGTCTTAAGAACTATAACCTCTGTTGCCTATGTCATTCCCAGATCATATCTTTGCTACTGTAAAACTATGTTACTTCATGTATTTCAGTCTTCCAGTATAGCATAAAAATAAGAGAATGGAATCATTCTTCCCAAAGGAAAAACCTTCCTGTGTGCCAGAAGATGCCACATTTTAAGTCAGAGTTCCTTTGGACTCATTCAAGAGAGGAAGAGTGAGGTTCCCGAGGAGAGGACCTTCCCTCTCTTACCTGTTGAGTGGGCAAGTGACAGTCTTCTAAACACACAGTTTCCATCTCAGGCCTTCACAGCAAGTGCCTTGTGTCTCTGGATTACACTCCTCAAGCCTAAAGAGCCCTCTGGGCCAGCAGGACAGCACCACTGGCATTACCCGTCTCCCTTGGTATAGGTTCCTGTAAGCAGATAGGGTAGTATTGGCAAAGTCAGTACTAGCAGACAGGTGGGAACAGAGATGCTGCTGTAGAAAGTGGCTGCCTTCTGCCTACATGGAGCCAGAAAGACACAAAGGGCTTTGGGGAGAGGGGAGGTTGGTTTCTCACCCCCTACTCCTGCCACCCTCAGTATATGGGGTAGAAGGACATGGGATGATCTGTCCCTGCTTGTCTTCCCTGCTGCTTCCCTGGGACCAATCCTGAAATGTCCCGCTTGGGTAGAATGCTTGAAGTCAATTTTGCTCGAGGAATGTACTTAATTTTGGACTCAGTGACTTGATTATATTGCTTTTTGAAGTGCATTATGTTGAAACTATTAGCAGGGAAAGGAAGACAGAATATTTTTTTTCTATTTATCCTGCCTAAAATTTTTTTACTGTCTCTTGCTTTTATTTTTTAAGTGTTCTTGTATTTTGTCCTGTATTACCTCAAAGCTTAAATGTTTTTGAAGGAATGGGGAAAGCATATATTGAAAATATCGCACATATCTTCAGAAGAGATGTCCTAACCTAAATAAACATTTTAAAATGTGTGGTTTCGTCCCATGATTTAAAGCTAATAAATGAAGCTATGTCTAAGCTTCCTTGCAGAGTTAAAACCCAAGAACTTCATTCAGACTRCCTAGACTGTAGCCAACCTTTGTATTCTGCTGAGGGATACTCTGGGGGTAAGGGATCGTAAATATTTGCATACATACTCATTTTCAAATTTTATTGTTAACTTCCTTATTATCAACTTAGAATCTGTCAAAACTACTGCTTCTAAAATATATTGGCATGGATTTTGTATTTTTATTATCCTTGAAAGAATTAGAACTTTTCAAATGAATCCTTACCAGAGAAAGCAGGACTGGGTTAAGCAGAACCGTTCAAGATTTGATGCACAAATTTGCATCACCTGGAAATTGGCTTTTTTACTGTAGGCAGCCCAGTCTTGGAAGAAGAGTTGGAACAGTATTAACAATTTCAAAACCCTTTTAAGTGTTAATTGTTTTGAATGAGAGTCCCATGAAATACAATTCTTGGTGGCCAATTGAACTGGATTCTTTTGCTTATTTTGTGTGAATCAAAAATGAAGGAAAAAAAAGCCAACAAGTGATTTTTATCACAGCTCTCAGTAGACAGTATATTTTTAAAGAGTGACACAGTGGTACCAGTAATATCTGATATCCCCTGGTTACAGTGTTAAGGTTGTGGTTGAATTATGTGGGCATTTGTGTGAAGCAGCATGGAGAAGTTCATGCAGAAGTTGCAGTTAAAAGTGCTATACCGTTTCAAGACAAAGGTTATTTTTATGGAATTTTTAAGCATTCCTTAAAGTCCTTAAAGCATGACCTCAGATCATTTGAATTATGTGCTGCTCAGTCAGCTATTTAAGCGTGTGCTGTACATCACTGAATTAAAGTTCTGTTTTTAACTGTTACCTCCTTCTAATGAGGACATTAAAATGGAACATGGGGATATGGAGCAGAATAGAAAATAACAGGCCATAGGTTTGCTAGTTCTCCAGGCAAGTATAAGCTGAAGTTACAAAAAGTGTTTCATGGCAAAGGTAGGTGCACTGCTCTATGATCAGCACAGGAGCCAGAAACAAGCAGAAAAGTCTTTCAGGAACTTGAGATAGTTGTCAGGAAAAAATTAAATTCATATATTGATTTGCTACCAAATCATGCATCTTTGTTTCCTAAATGGGTGAAAAGCCAAGGGCTATTTATTTTATTTAAAGCTATGCTATTAAAAAAATGAGACAATAAAAGACTAAAAGTCGTGCAAAAACAATTCAGAAAATACCCTACAAGGTAAGTGCCAGGGCAGAATTTATACTGCTTATGTCTGGAATTAAGTCTACAGCAGGGGGGTGGTTTAACAAGCAGCCACTTCACCTGATGCTGCTTTTTCTCCAGCTGATATTGATGCTGAAGTTGCAGCCAGGCTGCAGCCTCTCTCAGAAAATTTAATTACCACTCTATCCATCGGGCCAAGCTCGGCCGCCCTCCTCTGGCGTGTCCAGGGCACATCAGAGAATTCTTTCCTAGCAGTATCTTTAATGTGGGTCGGTTTCCGACTGACCCACTTGCAACCTGACTGAAAGCCATGTGCTGCGGGGCAGCATTCCTGTTTCGGTGCAGGCCAGGGAAGGGAGACTCTTCCTGCGGCCAGGAGCATCCCAGGAGTGCTCTCCCACGAATGCACTGGGCTCTTGCCAGGCTGAGGCAGCACGTGGCAAAGGGGATTGATCCCACGCAGGGCAGCACGGATCATCACGGATCATTGCGGGAGACTGCAAGAGCTGAGCTGTCCTGGCTTCGTAACTCACCTGCTCCTATACATATACACGTAGCATTAAAGAGGTGCAAAGGCTTTATAACACCACAAGCAAATTAGACCCTTCACATAAGCATATTTCTAACCTGAAGGTCTGGATCAAGGGTCCAGAAGCCAGGGAAGATATATGGGAAGAGAAGGTCATTTTTTTGACCTTCACAGGTCAAAACAGCACAGAACGACTTTTGGTTTTTTAATTTGTGCTGCTTAATAAAATATATATTTACTTACAGCCTTTCTGCACTTACACTTCTGCTTGAGTTAGTGTCTGCAAGGAAATCTCAGGCTGAATTAATCTGGTTCCCTCTTTGGAGATGTACAGCATAAAATTATAATTAAATCCTTAAAATTTATGTCCAATTTTAATAGGTGTTTCTTGTTCTGCAGACATTTATAACACAACTAGTACCAACTAGTATTGGCAATTTACTGTGAACTTGTTTTTTATTTTATTTATTAACAACTTTAATTTTATATTCTGGCAGGTACAGTTATGACACGTTTCACATACTCTGAAATTTATGAAATGGTAGTGCATTTCCTTCTCAATCTATCAATTTTTACTTCTCTATAAAAGTTAATTTATGTTTCTCCCTAAGATTTCTATTTAAACTATTTTGCTAGAAAATCTGAAGAGATCTGTTACCTTACTGTCTACCTCTAGGCTAAAAACAGAAGTGGAATAAAGAAACCAAAAAARAGTGTTGAAGTGTCAGAGTGTCATGCAGTTATTCTGAAGGAAACAGTTCAGTTAATGCACTGGCAATGAAAAAATTGCACAAGAGGTAGGTTGAGCAGCTGTTAYTACTTGTATGAAAAACTTGCACAGACTGATGAAAGCCCCCAAGCTAGCACTTGTTTTGATTTTCGGGACTCCTCCTAATTAGAAAAGGTGGCCAATTGAGATGCAATGCTGGAAATCTAAAAAATAGGTTCCATGTGGAGTTACAATAGTAGCGAGCACAATCATGGAGTAATCAACATGCTTCCAAATCCCAACTTGCTAGAAGAGTCCCAACATGTCTAGTMAGGCAAAAATGGTCCAAAAGCAAGAACCATGGCAGTGGCTGAACCGTTGAAAATAGTTTTCTTCATCATTAGGAAGCTCTTTGGACACTAATGATATCTACTCTTTCCAACCAGTGCTGAAAATGGCTGAGTTAATACAATAGATCTGACAAGATAGTTTGGAAGCTAATTAAATGAGTTGCAGGTGAAAGCTGTTATACAGGAGAGAATAGGTTAAAAGCTTCTGATGATACTTAACATGGATTTACTTCCACTGGGAGAATCTGCTGTAACCCAAGCAATTTGGACTTGTGATAGCTTCTGGCTGATCTGCCTCAAAAGAAATGAGAATGAAAATGAGGAAAAAGGTGGGTGTCTTCAGTAGAACAGGAAAAAGAAAAAACRAGCAAACAAAAGACAAAACTCTACATCCTGCTCCAATGTTTGTACCACATTCCTAAATGTAGTAGGGAATGTAGTACATTGCAGGGGCTAAAACACCACCCCTGCAAAGGAAACTGCATTTTCTGCCTTCATTTTCCTATATCTTMACTGGTGATTCATATTTTCTAATCACTTCCAGCTTATGTTAAACCTCAAATTAAAGAAACTGTAAGGCCAAATATTGCTTAATCATATTCGATAAGAGGTATTATTTTATATCTCATTGTATTCTATTAATGCAAGTTTTTCATACTCATGTAAAGTCCTCAGGRCTATAATTGTCTTTTTAATATGAGATGACATTTTTCTATGGGGATATATTATTGTTCTTGCATATATGCTTTAACATACAATACAACACAGTGTTAATATATAACATAATGTACTACACAGGATGTTCTTCCTCTTTTTTTTCTCTTACATTACTACAGCTTGCAACCCTGCTTTGATGCATCTATTCACGCTATAATATTTTTCTTTAAGCTAAACTAGTTTGAAGATGAGAATCTTCTTTGAGAATAAACTGAATTGTGTTTTAGGGGTTTTCTTTTTTATTTTCTTCTTGATGACCTTCTTGCTCCATAAAAGGAATGTAAGCTTCTATATTCTTGGAAAAATTGAGATGAACTTTTCCATTCCCTCATCAGATACCCAAGAGACTTCATCTTCAAGAAAGCCAGGGCACATCTGGAGGTTAATAGTTGAGATAGCTTTTTCTATCTCATCTTGTAGGAACTTCTAAATGATTTCCAAAAGCTCTTTCACTAGGGCTCTAGGGGAATACAATGACCCAAAATTGCAGCTTGTTTTATGTCCAAGCAGTGGATCCCTGAAAAAACTGGATTTGAACACAGATCTTTTATGGTTTTTTTTTGTGAAAGTACTTCTTTGTGAAATCCACTGCTTGCTATTTTGTATTCTTCACGTATAATAATTCACCTCTGTGGGACCTTAGAACACTGAAAAAGCCTGAATCTTCTGCACCCTAAAACCAAGTTTCCCTAATATAGAGAGTATTATATGGCTCAGATACTTCCACTATAAACTTTGGTTTCATCTTTTGATCCATTCTGGGGTCCAGTTGTCTGTAGTTCTTTGGAAAGCACTTAATAATCAGTATCAATAACCTGCTGGGTAATTCCAGCCTTCCSCACTTGACAAAACCAGATAGAAGAGCAGAGCAGCTGAGTTCACATGCCAGCTGCATCTTCYTTTACCTGTGTGCACATGTTTTAATCTGGCAGACATGACCTCTAGTGAGCTTGATTCAGGGAATATAGCCAATGTTACCTTCCAGGTATTATCTTTCAATAGCAATTTTAACACGTCTGTGAAGAATATTTTTCCTTCGATCTTTCAGGTCGATATACCAGCTTGCTGACTCCCCTTACCTCCTGCAACAAATGTTCGTTAGTGTGTTTTAAAGGGTGGGAGTGACCAAACACTCTTGCCTCGTCCAGGAGGACCTGCCTCGCTCCTCCACTGAGTAACCTAACTTACATCACATCTAGAATTGTTGGAGGTGAGGCAGAAATATTTGCAGGATTTCTCTTTCTCTTCATGATTAACCCATTTTACTAGGAGATTCTGAAGTCCTTTTCGGTCTGGTTTTCCTAGTCCGATCTAGTATGTCATCAAACTATTGTGTATATGCAAGTGAAGCAAACCCCAGTGA